ATACTTGTCACTTTAATATCAAAGATATGTGAATATAATGGATTTCATTTTATCAAATTTGAATTATGGTGGCAAGGTGTTTTGATAATGTTCTTGAATTTTAGCTGACAACTTTTTTTGCTAAAACTAATGATGGTTTTTCTAAGCTTAGATACGATGTCTGTATTTGTCTCCAGCAGAGAAAAAAGGATAAGAAGTTTAATTGTATTGCCTTTGCACAACAGTTTATTGTCAATAACTTTTTCTCATCAATGTTCTAATTGTTGGAGCCAAGTGGACAAGAAAAAAAGCTCATTTTTAGGTTCTCAGTGTATTAAATTCTGCTAATCCACGTCAATTTGAGAGTGCAAGTGTACTTCTGAAACTGCTGATCAATTTAGTGTTAATGGCTGAGCTGAAGCCTTTTAAAATCAAATTCTGTTAACTGGTTCTGAAATATCAGTAGTTTTACTTTAAAGCATAGATAAGTCTTGAAATACTTATTTGGGAGGAAATAAGCTCAGCAACTTCCTCAGGAGGGAGTCCAGTGATGTATGCAGCTCTATTTAAGCACTATTTATGAAAATAAAATTTGAGTGTTCTCCTTAGGAACAATACTTATAACATGCTAAAAATAAGCAACTTATTGGACCTGTTTGGATTCATAACAAATTTACCCCAGCTATGTCATTCAGTAAAAATTGTGACACCTCTTCTTTCCTTTTAAACTGAAAAATGAGATGTGAACAAAACACAGATGCACTTGATAAACAGAGTTCTCTGCATGCTTCTACTCCTAAAATATTAAGGGTGTCAGAGTCAAAATTAGCTGATGCAGAGCATCTTGCTTCAAGTTTCTGAAGACGCTCTGCTCTGGTGGGTGGAAAAAATACTGAAACCAAACTTGTAGGAACTATATTGCAGTGCCCCTGGTTGGGTGTATTTTCCTACTCAGGTAGTGCTGAGCTCTTCTTAATTAAAATTTTGGAACGTTCATGAATAGGTAGTGTGTTCTTTTACCAGGTCAACCTACCAGTATATTGACAGGACAGGTAACTCAACAGAATGGGTTTACAGCTCAGCCATCTACTTACCATCACAGTGAGTATATACATATGTGCACTCTTCTTAGTTTTCTAAAACCAGTTTCCAAATGTCAGGAGAAATAGAGGATTAGAAGTAAGCTGTGGAAAAAATCCCTTAAAAACCAACCACTTTTTTTTTTTCTAGATAGTACTACAACTTGGACTGGAAGGCCGGAAAGCAGCCTACACACCTACCATACCTCACCACCAAAATGGCCATCTTCAACATCATCCACCTATGCATCCTGGGCATTACTGTAAGTAGCGTAGATTTCCAGATCACTTCATTTTCAGTTTTGTCAAATGGTGGGGATTCATTTGTGATTAGTTTGCCCAAAATTTTTTTATTTTTTCATTACAGAGCTGCCGTTACTGTGTTTAGTATTTTCTAACAGTTAAGTATAAGAGCCTAATGAGCTTTCCTCTGTTAAAGCAGCAGAGATTAGAAAATCAGATAGCTATAGTGATACCATCTATGTTACACGTCTTACTATACTTAAGAAAACTAGCATTTCCTTTCTAAACCTCTGTTTTTGAAGCTTTGCAATCCTGTACTAAATATTTCTTTGCAGAAAAGGAAGTTGATTCAGAATGTTGTTTGCATATTTTTCTTTCAAAGCTTGGAAGTTCTTGGTTGTTTTTATTTTCTAGAAATTTTGAAGTCATACTAAGCTTTGGGAGACGTGTGTCCACGTACACTAGCCAGTTTAAAAGAACTTTGTGAAAATTCATGCAGTAAAGTATTTGTCAATAAAGTGGTCTTGCCACAGCCTGATTCATGAGTACATTTGGCACACAAACTTGAAAATCTTTTTCATCTACGAAATAGGATGACAGTCTCTTGCTTTTAAGGTACAGGAGATGGAAAGTTTAAAAAAAAAAAGTGATCAAACTGCTAGTGTGTCTAGCACAGTATATGTATTATAAGAGTATAGTGGGGAAAAAACCCATCCAAATTAAAGTTGCTCTAATGGCAAAAAGCTAGAACAGTTCTTTTTCTCATATAGTACTTAACCTAGATCACCTGTTTGCAGCAGTTGTGGTTAGCAGAGGGGAGAATATACTTTAAGTTAATATTAGAATGACTTTTCAGCTTGTCTCTATCAAGAAAATTGTGTTTTAGATAGAGTTATTAGGCTTCATTATTTTGTTCTGTTAGGATCCCATTTCATCTGCCATCTAGTTTGTCAGAAATACCAGGATGTAAAAAAAACTTCAGTGGTGCTGTAGATATTCTATAAATGTTTCACAGTGCATGTATCTTTCCATAATTAATATTTGTAACTGGCTGGTGATTTCTCACTTCTGAAAGTTGCATGTTTTGACACCTACCAGCATTGTGCTTGTTTTAATATCTTGTTGCAAACACGGCTCTTACTTATAATACTGTCGTGGTTTAACCCCAGCCAG